TTAAGTAGCTTGCTTATGTGGCAGTGTTATTAGAGTCACTCTGCCCCACACTTAAGTAAGGGCATTTTTGTCTTTGTAAAGATTATTAGAGTCTAATATAGATTAAGGGGGTCGACTGTATGGGTAATCCATGAGATTTCGACAGACCCTTCTTCTTCTTCTTCTTCTTCTTCTTCTTCTTCTCTTCTTGGTTTGGACTACTGTAGCGCCAGTCGAAACAATTATGAATTATTGAACCTAGGTAACAGATTAGGTCACATTGAGATATCCCTTGGTCTCCAATCCTAAGTGTGCCCTAGTTTGCACTCCTATTATTATTAAATTTACATTGATTATTATCTCTTTTAGTCCTACACTCCAACTTATTTTAAAACCTCTTGTTTCTAATGCAATTGTCCATAAACCTAATTTTGTATTTAGTCCACTAATTTCATCAATTAACTATGTCGTCGGCAAATATCAAGCACCATGGGACCTCCTCTTGTATATGTTTAGTCAATCAATCTAAGATCAGATATGAAAATCAGAATGAATTGTAGTCAGCTAGTATTATTTTCCCTAGAACCTAATGTTTGAATATCCAACTTGCTAAATTGGAAAAATCTGAGATATACCATAGACCTACATATGGAACTTCTCCAGTCCTAGCAACCAACCACTGGCCTACTTGCATACCAAGAAGAAGAGAAAAAAGTGAGAGAAGTTGTTACTCCACCTTCTAGCCATTTTTCTGAAATTTATTATAAAGATTAGGTATCAACCTCTTGGCCCTCTTCCTTAAGCAAATAAAACATCCACCTGGCTCAAGAGTGGGGGGAAGGAGAGCATTCCCTCAGAAGCAGGTGGCAACACCAACAGTTGAAGAATGCAGAGTCACTTCTGGATGTTAAAATCTTCTTAACAACCCTCAGTTACTTTTATCAACTTACAATAGTTTGTGCAAACATATTGCAATTGATTTCATCAGTGTTTTAAAAGGCATGGGAGGCCTCCAGGCGAGGCGCTTCCAAAACGCCCTGAGGCATATGCCTCAGGTGCAAGAGGCGTACGCCTCTTGAGCTTTTTTCATGAGGCTTGCTAGAGGCGTACGCCTCTTGCGCCTCATGCACACCTGATTTGAAAATACTTGAAAAAAAAAAGAAAAAAAGAAAAAAAGGAAAGGAAAGGAAAGGAAAAGAAAAGAAAATGAAAGGAAAGGAAAGAGAAGAAAAAAAGAGAAAAGAAAAGGGAAGGAAAGGAAAGGGAAGAAAAGATAAGGGGAAAGAAAATGGTTTGCCCCCTGCCCCTTCGACTGGGGGGCTTCGCCCCCCAGACCCCCCCACCCCCTTTTCAATGCATTTTTATTCTTCTTAATATAAAAAATTCTTATTAAAAATAAAGAAAAAAGGAGATCCCCCCTTCCTCTTCATCCTCCTCCTAACCCCCCTCCTCTTAGAAAGGCTTACGCCTCCTTGCGTTCTCAATTACGTCTCACGCCTCTAGGTAGTGGAACGCCTCGCGTCACGCCTCCACGTTTTAAAACATTGGATTTGATTGATCATTGAATGAAATGGAACTTAGTTAAGTTGTAGCAAAAAGTTGTTATCATCTTGCAAGTGAATATATTGAATCATTGATAGAATTCCATCATTGGTAAAGTTTCAAGTGTCCTCTTACATTAACATGAATTTCCTTTTGTTTACATATGCATAAAAACCATGAAATATAAAAGACAAGGGTAAATTCATACCTCCCATGATGCCAAACTTTTCATGTAGGAAGGAAGACGTTCGTAGTCATCCTTAGAAATATTTATTGAAGTTCTGGTTGCACTTCCCACTGACTTAGGGTCATCTTTGTCTCGTCCTGCGTGTGATCATGGATAAGAAGGTTGACCATTCAACTTTGTAGATATCAATGAAGTGATGAACCTAATAGGTAAAGAGAAATTTCACTTGACAAACAAGTAGAGTTAAGTGATCCATACCTCTTGTAGTGCTCAAGATATTTGCACAAGGTTCATATGGCTTCTTTGTTCCATGTACTTCACTGCCATCATAACATAATAAGTGAAAGATGATGATGAAAAAACAGAAAGAATATAAAGGAACCACAAAGTCATTGTGATGCCCAGAAAAACTAATGAAATTTACCTCATTTGGTCATGAAAAGATACCTCTGAGACGGAACTCTTACCATTAGCTGCAAAGGGCAAAATATAAGTAAAATAAAGTAATAAACTATCAAGGATAGGATTAAATACCAGAAATAATAGCATCAATTGCTGACAAGAGAAGGTAAAATTAATTGAAATGGTTCAGAGTCTTCAGACACATGTGATGAGGACCAGAAAATGCATCTATTTGGAGGGATATTGATCCAAATTGAAGGTATAAAGAAGACAGGGGAAGAACATCAAAAAGTACGGAAGACTCATCCTTCAACAGAAAATATAACATCAGCGAGAGTGGAATCAAGGAAAAGGGTGTGTGCAGTCAAGCCACTTGGGAATTACAAGAGGGGTGATGATTAAAATGGCAATTATGATAAGACAATATCTGGTAGTAGATATTATAATTTAAGGGGAAAAAAGAGTTAGTTGGAGAAACTACTTGAGCTGAAGGAAGCATGGCATCCAATAAATAGCTCAAATGATTACTAGTCTAAATCATAACCATGGGGTCACAACACACAAGTCCAATTTAAGTTTGCATACTAAAACAGCACATAAGGAATGCTTGATATAAAAAGTTGGAACATGGTAAATTATGCCTACTGACCTTCATAAGCCAACGTAGCAAGACAGACATCAGAAAGCCCTAGATTTTGTAAACTCAAAGACTCCTCAACTTCAAATCTTACAAATGTCAAGGAACACACAAAAGTTTCATGGTGCACTATCATGCACATTTGGAAGATCTCTGCATTATTGACTAAATAAAATGCCACACTGATGTATTGCATAACATAATCGATCAACTCAATTGATTACTATGAGTTGATGGGAGCCTTCTTTTTTAGCTACTGGTTATACAATGTTGAAATTTGTGAACAGTAAGAAAGTTAGTCAACAATTAGAGCAAGAAGGATACAAGGGGTCCTCTCCAAGCCTCTTCATAATGGACCCTGCAGCAGAAACTGGTCCACAAGAAAAGGAAGATAGATCCTTGGAATTCAATAACTTGGAGTCCAAACCAACAGGAGTAGATAGTCCCGAAACCTCATCTTCGTCATCAATCTCCACTTCTAATGCAAATAAAACGGAAATTTCAAAGTTCAAACTAGATGACGGGTAGAAACAAAAGAACATGATAACCCAAATGAATTAATTAGGGTTTTATGTGGTCTACCAGGAACATATCCGAAGCTTCTGAAACGGTCTTCGAGTTCAATGAGATCGCTCTGATTCTTCTTGTAAACTTCGTTGCAGTGACCCAATAGCTCTTCGAATGATACCGTTCCAAATGCCATCGACTCGAGCAAGTTGAGGTCCTTGCTTGCAGACGAAACCCGGCGGTTGAGGCACTGTATGAAGGTGGACGATGCTGATTCTAAAGGGGAAATTCAAAAGAGACAGTGACTGTGTGACACTACTCAGGAACGAATGACATAAATGAACCCCTAAGACATACGTGTTCGATAAAAAAAAAAAAAAAAAAAATAGAGAACACAATAACAATCAAAAGAAAAAGAAACAAAGCAACGAACCGAGAGGGATGGGTCGTCTTTCAAGAGAGTCCTTGAGAGCGTTGCTACTAGTTTCGAGGTGTTTGCAGAATGAAGATAGAGTTTTGCAGAAGGTAGATATGGAATCTTCCGCCATTGTTCTCTGCAATTCTTTCCCGGAATAGTCTCTTGCTAGCTAAAAGTACTCCCCTGCAGGCTGCAGCTCAGTGTTCTGTTCGAAATTTCAAAACGATTTGGCTTGGGAAAGGGCGGGAAATAATCATATCTATATTTCAAAATGGAACATCTAAATATATGAAGCGCCTGTAGCTCAGTGGATAGAGCGTCTGTTTCCTAAGCAGAAAGTCGTAGGTTCGACCCCTACCTGGCGCGTTGATTAAGTATACTTTTAAAAATATTTATTAAAATTCAAGAGTGGATTTTTTAATATTATGATCAAATACAGTCCACGTGTTACTCTTTCTCTTTTTCAAAATATGATTTTATTCTAATTTTTCAAAATTAGAAATTTTTCTCATCATAGCGGTTGATAAAAAGTCATTCACCAATCAAAGACCACTCAGAGAAAATTTTACTTTAGGTCGAGTGTTAATTTAGTATCCAAACTTTAAAATGTGATAGTAGTCGAACTTTCATTTTGCAACAATCTAATACACGGCGTTAATCAGCCATTAAGTAACATGCAAAAATACAAAAATGTCCTTCGATCTACCATTTTCCCGCCTTTCAGCTGCAGAGGCTTGTTCTCTCTGGTAACAAATTCTCCAGCGAGATTCTCGACAGGCAAAAAGCGTCTGGCTGTTGTCCAACTTCTATTCGTTGGAGTGGAATCGGGCACGATGTGCAATTCTAATTGCTACAATTGTGTTCGTTGGGGTGTCATCGCCACCGTCAACCACCGCACATTTTTTGCCGGTTCAGATATGCAGCGGCGACGGCACTCCTCTCAGCGAAAAACCGTTGCAGCTCTGTTTGTTGGGGTGTCGTCGCCGCCATCCACCACCGCATGTTTTTTTGCCGGTTTAGATCTGTAGCGGCGACAGCATCCCTCTCAGTGAAAAACCGTTGTAATTCTGTTCGTTGGGTGCCGTCGCCGCCATCCACCATCGCATGTTTTTCGTCGGTTCAGATGTAGCGACGACGGCACCCCTCTCAATGAAAAACCGCTGCAACTCTGTTCGTTGGGGTGTCGTCACCGCCATCCACCACCGCAAGTTTTTTGCCGGTTCAGATCTACAGCAGCGACGACACCCCTCTCAGCAAAAAACTGCTACAACTCTATTCGTTGGGGTGCAGTCGCCGCCATCCACCACCGCACGTTTTTCACCGGTTCATATATGTAGTGGCGACGACACCCCTCTCAGCGAAAAACTGCTGCAACTCTGTTCGTTGGGGCAGAAAACATCTGGCCGGTTGGGGTGAACCGGGCACGACTCTATTCATTTTCTTGAGAAAGAAGATGATGAACAGTGTTTATGGGCAATTTAAACATTTTTAAAAGTTTTAAATCGCACATGCACATGATATAAATAATTGATGGTCTATTGACATAGGTACTAAATTGTCGCAAAATGAAAGTTAAGTACAAGATTGTGGTGTTTTAAAGTTTTGGTACTAAATTGACACTTGAACTAAAGTATAGGGTCCCTATGGGGAATTTTCCCTAAAATATAATTGCTTAACATATTTATGATATGGTTGATTGGTCATAAGTTTTTCAGAAATAATGTCTTTTCAACATTATAATCAAACACAACCCACATGTCACCCTTGCTCTCCTTCAAAATTGATGCAAAATCTTTATTCTAATTTTCACACTTTTTAAAATTTTTATTTTTTTAAATCACTTAATTGAGGAATCAACCAATGTCAATCCTCTTCCAATGTTTGAGAAATTTACAACCATTTTGCTCTTAAAATTTCTCCCATTATTTGTTTTCTTGTATTAACTAGTGGGGACCCATGTGATGCACGGGATTTATTAAGGAAAAGTGAAACAATGGAAATTGATAATTATATTAATAATTTTAGTAATTTGTTATAAAATATAATTTATTAATTATATTAATAATTTCTAACAAAAATAATAAATTATTATTAATTACTTAATAAATAATTATTTTTTCATATTATCCGTTAATATTCTATTTTATCTGTTTTTACTTCATTAATAAATAAATTAATCCATATATTAACTTTTTTAATCATAATTAAATTAATCTCATCCAAGCTAAAGGTTTAAGACTTTAGGTTAGGCTTTGGTTGATCCTCAACTTAACCCAACCCCTTAAGTTGCACCTCTAAGAGCAATGTGAAATTTGTAATTAGACTAAACCAAATCTAAGCACAACCCATGCATGCATTATTTTTGGGTTTTTAACTATTTTTTAATAAAAAAGATTAATATTGAACCCGAAGGAGCTATGGGGGTTGAGCTACCCCCATTGTGTAACATAATGAACCAAAAACATGAAATATCTCAAGCCAAGCTTTGATAGTGTATTAACAATTTTATAGGTTGCATAGCCCAACCCTGCCCACACTCTAAGCATAATTATATTAATTAATAATATAATTAATCAAAAATTACTAAATTACTAAATCATGGCATTAATAAAATAAAGATTAATTATTTTAAACAACATAATATTCCTTCCTTAGAATAGTTGTTAGTTTCCATTATTTCACTTTTCGTTGACAAATTCCATGTTAGTAAAACATAAACTAACAAAACTAACAAAGCATTGCAAGGGTCCTTGCTAGTAAAACATTAACTAACAAATTTCTTAATTAGTGTTTAAATTTTTTATTTTTATTAGTGTTCATTAAGTTTGATTTTTAAGTGAAATTGAAACGCTTTTATTTAGAGTTTTAAAGAAACCAAATAGATAAATGGTAGTTAGAAAGGATATCCATGCACTACATGTCTTATTATGTATAGGGCATATTCGGATCCGATCCAACCCGAAGATCTGGTCAAATCTCATATATGGTGATTCAAATTTGAATCCATTAAGGAAAGTTAGATATCCAAATCGGATCCAATCTTTAATAGGTTTAGGTTAAACAATAAAACATAAAACAACAAATTTCTTAATTAGTATTTATTAATTTTGATTTTAAATAAATTGAAAACATTTTTCATTAACATTTGAAGGAAACCAAATTTCTTAAATTTTATTAACTATTATAAGATAAATCTATTTTTAATTTTTACTAAGTTCTATTAATAATTATTATAATATTTTAAAAACAGGATTGGAATTGAAATAGAATTGGAATCAGAATCGGAATTAGAATCACCTATTCCTGCTTGGTTTAGTTGGAACCAGAATTGGATTTTGATTTGATTGTTGTTATTTTGTTATTACTTCAATACTTTATTAGTTTGTACATTTAATTTTCTTATTAGTTTATTAATATTTTGTTAATTTATACTATTATTACTTTAATCATATTATATCAATATTGGCATTATTACTTAATTATTATATTAATTTTAATTATATTATATTATTACCAAATTATTATTATATTATTAATAATATTATTACTTTACATTGTATAAATAAAATATTTATACATTATTATATTTAAAACTTCATATCTTTATCTTTTGTTATTAATTTATTAATATTTTATTATAGTACTATTATTTTATTACTATTTTATTAATATTTTCTAAATATTTTATTAATACTTTTGTCACGAGTCTCTTTAAAACTCTTGAATGGGAATTCCATTCTCTAGGGAAGCCTAAAATACCCAAATGCCCCCCCCCTTCTTTTTCTTTAACAATTATATTACTATTAATAATTAAAATGCATTATTTTTTTCAGTATTATTCAGTATTTTTTGCAATAAAATACAATTAATTAAAAAAAAATTAATTATTTTTAGTACTTTAATTAAGCTTTAGGTTTTTTTAGAATTTTCAGATTTTTAATTAAATTTTGGTGTTTTTTCATTATTATTCAGTAACTTTTGCTTATGAGTATTTTTCAATAATTTACAGTATTTTCAGCATTTACTTTTGCATATTAGTCACTACAAAATTAATTTGTATTTGCTTTCAGTAAAAATAAATTAAATAACTAAACAAATACCATAGTTATTAAAAATACAACTAATTTTCAATATTTTTCAATAGTTTCTGACTTGTGTATTTTTTTAATGATTTTTTGTGTTTTTTAATAATAAAATACTATTAATTGTACTTTTTAATTATTTTTAGTAAATACCCTTACTCATATAAAGTATTGTTAATTTTCAGTATTTTTAACATTTTTAGTATTTTAATTATGTTTATGTTTTTTAGAATTTTCTGGATTTTTAATTAATTGTTGGTTTTTTTTCATTATTATTCAGTAATTTTTGCATATGAGTAATTTTGCAATAAAATACTAGTAGTAAAACATGCTCTGCATGTTAAATTTTCATTAATTTATCATTTTTAATGAGTTCATTATGCACAATAAAGGTCTCAAGTCATAAAAATTATTAATTAATTAAAAATGCATTAATACAAAGTTATTAAAACTATCATTAGTTGTTGGTATTTTTATATTTAAACTTCTTATTTTTAATTAGTTGTTGGTATTTTTTCATTATTATTCAGTAATTTTTGCAATAAAATATTGTTAATAAAACGGCTTCGGCATTTTAAATTTTCATTAATTTTTATCATTTTTAATGAGTTCATTATGTAGAATAAAGGTCTTATCTCATAAGTTATCTAATAATATTATTAAAAGTTTTAAACTATCAATTAATATTTTTATATTTAAATTTCTTATTTTTATTAGCATTTATTAAGTTTGATTTTTAAGTGGAATTGAAACACATTTTTAATATTTACTAAGTTTTGTTAATATTTATTTTTAGTGAAAGTTTAGTGGATTTTTAAATTAATAATTTTTTGTTTGTTTAACCTCAACCTATTTATATTATCGCTATTCTCTCTCTCTCTCAAATGTAATAATAGCATGCATTAAAATAAGGCCTTGGAAAATCCAAAGATCTCTCTAATAGTGTGCTTATTAATCCAATCAAGATAAACAATGATTATTGTTTTATATTAATAAAACAAAATAAGAAAAATGCAAAAAGTTGTATTAAAGTTTTTTTGTAGGAAAAAATTTTATGTAATAAGCGCTTGTAGCTCAATGGATAGAGTGTATGTTTTCTAAGCAGAAAGTTGTAGGTTCAACCCTTACTTG